ATCTCTACTTGCAGTCTCTTAAAGACTCTGTACCTTATCAAATCTAATATCCCTAAATCTCTCAGTGATGAAGCGTTCTTTGTACGACTGAGTCTATTGTCTAAGTATGGTGGGTATATTTCGTGAAGTATGTAGTAGATTTGTATTACAAGTCAAGTAGAATTTTGTATTATTTATGCGGTTCTATATATTAGTATAGTTTCAAAGCTCATCTTGTAGAGCTAGATTATCCTCTCTCTGTCCTCCTTTAATTTCAATTTCAATTTCAATTTATTATGGGTCTATATGACCGAAGTCTTGACCAACGGAGAATGCAAAGTCCTCCTTTAATTAATAAGCACTTTAAAATATAACACAGACCAAGTTGTATTCAGTAATCAGCAAACAGATGAATTAATTCTTATAAAAATATTCAGAACGTTAGTAATAACTGTAGCAGTAAAAACTAATCAGTGCAATATAATGTACAGCAAGTTATAATCAATAATCAGCAAACAGATGAATTTGTGTAAAAATATTCAGTACGTTAGCAAGAGATGTAACAGTAAAAACAATCAGTGCAATATAATTAATTAATTAATAAAACGATTTAAAACTCTTTTTTCTCCCACACTGAGATGAACTGCATGGGAGGCTGGGTTCTCGTCTTTAAAGACCTTCTTTCCCAGCTTGCTTATCTAAGTCTAATTACAGGTGGAACTCTATTAAAACCCCCAACATTCCCCCCCTCCCCTTCCCTCTCTATATTTATAATGTCAGAATACTTATTGACTTAAACCAACAACAGTACAGTTTCCTTTGGGATGTATTCAGTTTGCAGGGCTTAGACAAACACAGCAGATCGCTTTGGCGTCTTCATGCTCACGTATAACTTTTTGAACTACAAGGCGCCTATTGCCTATTTTGTTCCCCATAATTAACCCAGAACTTTTAATTAAATGTTCTAATTCTAAATTTTAAATCTTACATGCTGCCTACACATCAGTTAAGAAGATTTTTTTAAAGACTTTTTTTTGCCTGATGTTTCTCGAGTCGCTTCACGGAAGTCGGGCAGTCTTACGAAGTCTCTCCGCTTGCTTGCCACAGCTCCGATGAGGGTGGTGAGGGTGATGAAAGCCTCTGTAAAAGCAAAGGTCTCATGTATTCCCGCACACACTCCCCCCACCCCCAGGAATGTCCTCCCCCCAACCTTTATGGCAACCGAAGCAAGCATAGACTTTCCACTCATCAGTAGCACTTGTCTTGTCAGAATTAAGCTTCATTTATTAGCCTGCATCCACTCCAAAACTGCCTTCATGCATTGGTTCAGGGTTTCTACATCATCCCTGGAAACAGCTGGATATTCAAGATAGAGCTGACTGTCATTCCAGCCCAAATCTCCAGATGACTTTACCCAGTGATTTCACATAGATGTTAAAAAGCAAAGGAGGCAAGATGAAACCTTGAGGGACCCCACATGCCAAGGGGCTGAACAGCAGTTCCCCAGCAGTACCTTCTATAGAACTGGAACCATTGCAATATGGTGCCTCCCAATCCTACCCTGGAAAGGTGGTCCAGAAGGATCAACAGTATTGAAAGATGCTGAGATATTCTGGATTATCAACGGTTGCCCCCTCTGTCCATCTGCCAGCAGGTGTCATCCACCAGGATGACCAAGGCTGTTCCAGTCCCATAACCAGAGATAAAACCAGTTTGAAAAGGATCCAAACAATC